ATCCAGAGCCACCGTGCACAGGCGTGTGCAGGAAATGGGCTACAGGTGCCGCATTCCCCAGGTCAAGCCACTTTTGAACCAGAAATAGCGGCAGAAGCGCCTGACCTGGGCTACAGAGAAGCAGCACTGGACTGTTGCTCAGTTTTGCATGTCATTCGGAAATCAAGGTGCCAGAGTCTGGAGGAAGACTGGGAAGAAGGAAATGCCAAAATGCCTGAAGTCCAGTGTCAAGTACCCACAGTCAGTGATGGTCTGGGGTGCCATGTCAGCTGCTGTTGTTGGTGCACTGTTTTATCAAGGGCAGGGTCAATGCAGCTAGCTATCAGGAGATTTGGGAGCACTTCATGCTTCCATCTGCTGAAAAGCTTTATGGAGATGAAGATTTCATTTTTCAGCACGACCTGGCACCTGCTCACAGTGCCAAAACCACTGGTAAATGGTTTACTGACCATGGCATTACTGTGCTCAATTGGCCTGCCAACTCTCCTGACCTGAACCCCATAGAGAATCTGTGGGATATTGTGAAGAGAAAGTTGAGACGCAAGACCCAACACTCTGGATGAGCTTAAGGCCGCTATCGAAGCATCCTGGGCCTCCATAACACCTCAGCAGTGCCACAGGCTGATTGCCTCCATGCCACGCCGCATTGAAGCAGTCATTTCTGCAAAAGGATTCCCGACCAAGTATTGACTATTGAGTGCATAACTGAACATAATTATTTGAAGGTTGACTTTTTTTTTGTATTAAAAACACTTCTTTTATTGGTCGGATGAAATATGCTAATTTTTTTGAGACAGGAATTTTGGGTTTTCATAAGCTGTATGCCAAAATCATCAGTATTAAAACAATAAAAGACCTGAAATATTTCAGTTGGTGTGCAATGAATCTAAAATATATGAAAGTTAAATTTTTATCATTACATTATGGAAAATAATATATGCTAATTTTTTGAGAAGGACCTGTATAGTATGCTTTATTAAGGTGTGTACAGAATTTGATCTTTTAATATAACAGTTTTAGGACAAAGCCGTTAAGCGTTTTAGAATGTATTTTATCCGCGCACACAATTTGAAAAGACTCAAACGGACACAGGCCGAGTGAAAGACTGGATTTTGTTTTTTCGATCAGGTATGGGTACAAGTGATTTCAAAAAATTTCAGCGGGTTCTAATTTGATTTTTGGATAATGTGAACACGTTTAGCTAAAAAGACTGCCGCTCCAGTTTAGCGTTTATTGTTGTTTCTGCAGTTAAAAAGACAAAGTTGACAATCCTGGCCATACTCTGATATTTTAATAATTTCTTTATTTTAATTTTATTAATTGATCACTCAGGGTGATCTAATTTAACTATTTGTGACTTGTGTTTTGAATATTTGTTCCCCTGCACTTTAGGCATTTTGCACACATTTGTTCTGCTTCTTGTGACTTGATTCTGACTTATTTCGTTTTGTATTTTTATTTATTATAAATGTATATTGTGTTCTTAATTGTTGATTATTTTTCAGTGCATCGATGTTGCGCTGTAGGCCTACTTAGAGCATGCTCGTACAGGCAATTCAGCCGATTTAATTTGATTTGCATGTGAAATGCAAATCCTATCTGCAGTGTGGCCTTTCTGCAGTTATTTATGTTATTTCTTAGTTTTATTGATCCAAAATGTTTTTATACATTTTCTTCTATATCTTTGTGTGATGTTCTGTACATCGCGGCTTTAAAATGTTAAAGCCCCGCCCCCTCCCCAACTCCACACACATGATTCGACTATTAGTCGAATATAGGCAGGACTTGACGAATCTGATTCGACTATTAAAATACTTAGTCGGGGACACCCCTAAATATATATATTAGGGGTGGAACGGTACACAGAAGTCACGGTTCGGATCATACCTCGGTTCAGAAATCACGGTTCGGTAAGATTTCGGTACAATGGAGTGAAAAGCAAAACAAAAATGCAGAAGGCATTTTTATAACTGTCTTAAGCCTTGTATTTTTTAAATAGGTTTTATTAATAAAGGCATATAACCAGTTTATTTGTAGTCCACTGACAATAGTTTTATACAATTAGTTTATTAATTAAATTAATAAAAAGACCTTGAGATATGTTTGGTAATTGTACCTGAATGAATTTAAAATTAATTTGCTATATTTCAGATCAATATATTTGTTTTCCTTAATTTTTATTAACCCTAACTTTATTCTCATCTGAATTCTAAATAATTGATTTCTGTATAAAATAATACTACCATTAAAAACACATTTGATTTTCTTTATTAATCAATGTAGAATGTGTAACTTAAAAATAAACAGATTAGTGCTGGACTCGAGGACAAGAAATGAAAACCAATGCGATATGATGAATGTCCAAAAGATGGCACCCACAGACTGTTTTGTTGGATAAATGTTTTGCTTTTAAAACTGTGTGTGTTTGGTTGGGTGACAGTTGTAGGTTACAGTTTGACAAGAGTTTAGAGTGTGACAGAAGCACAATGTTGTGTTTTATTGCGAGTGTACACAAATATAAGTAAACACTTAGCAGTTTGAATGATGTCCTGTATTAACAAAATGACGGAGTATGTTTTTATGTTTACACTGTTCGATCGCGCCCGCGCCTCTCTCTCTCACACAGTTCGATCGCACCCGCGCCTCTCTCTCTCACACAGTCCGATCGTGCCCGCGCGCCTCTCTCGTGCGCGCGCGCACACACTCCAGCTTTGCAATCTTGACATCACAGCCTGTTAATTATGCTGCGTTCACACCAAACGCGAATAGAGCAATATTTATCGCTATTTAGAGTTTTATTTATTTATTTTTATACCGTGTATTCTCCGTGCAAATTCTTGCACCGAACCATGACGCCCGTACCGTTTCGGTTCAATACGAATACATGTACCGTTCCACCCCTAAGTAAAAGAGCTCAATATTTAACAGAACGTACAAAAGACTTATTCTGAATGACAGGTCACATCTCTTCCGGTTCATGGACTTTTTTTCACATAACCTGTACTTTGCAGTGTACTTAGCAGCAGGGGCGTAGCAGCCATTATAAAAGTGGGGGGGGACAAAATGGTGTGGTGATGTGACCCAAAGGTCAGTCCTTCCAGAAAAATGCGGAGTTTTTTGTGATTGTTGCGGGCAAAAATCCTTGATTATGCGGCGATGGAATATGCAGGATATTTGCAATTTTATGTGATGAAATTGCGGGAACTTGCAAAAACTGCAGTTTGATGAAAAAGAGAGAAAAAGTGATTCCCCAACACCCTGTTCTCACTAGGCTACTACCTTAATGTAAAGAGCTATTTCTTATTACTTCCTATGATAAGCAAACATACTACATCACAGAAAGTGCTGGAATATTTAATCTTGTTTTATTTCAGACCTCAAACACATGGCTCAAACTTACAAAACATTGATGAGTCAAACAAGTTCTGTAGCTTTACAAAAGGAATATGCTACAACTTCTGTAAAAATGAATAAATAAAATATGAAAAAAATGTTTCCTGTTTTACAGCTTTTCAATGATGTTCATGTCGCGTAATTACGTCACTTCATAACGTTCCAATGGCAACAGGGGGAAACGGCTGCTCTCGTGTGAAGCAAACGCAACATTTTTCAACTTTCTGCTAAGATATATGTGACTTTTTTTGCAACAAAAATGCGGGGATTATGAAATCATACAAGCCCCGCATATTTTGCGCGGAAATCGGCAATTTATACGGCAAAAGTGCGGCGTATTTGAAAAAATGCCCCCGCATAAATATGCGGACTTTGGCTGATTATGCATTGAATCATGCGATCGCATAATCGCGTTTTTCTGGAGGGACTGAAAAGTGATGTTCATAATAATAAATTCTAGATGGAATAGCAATTGGCATTTTACAGCACCCTAGTGCCAATTTTGGGAACATGCCATGATAGTTTACAGCAACCTATTTTTGTGAAATCATACTCGAAATAAAAAAATATTGCAGGACTTGGGACTTTCAGACAACTGTGGACATCTATACTTTATTTTTATGAAATAAAGATATTTTATGATATTTACAATATTTCAGTTAAACTACACTTGAACAATAACTTTTATATTACTTCTTAACAGTTGGACCAAAAAAAAGTGTTCAATGAGTACAGAACAGATTACATCTAGCCTACAGTAATTTTATACAACAGACATTTTATAAAAATATATCAATAAAACCTAAATCAATGTATTCGGTATTGGACATCAATTTAACATTGACATTAGATGTTGAATTTACATTGAATTTTGGTCACCCGACGTCGCAACCAAAATTTAACCAAATATCAACGTCTTGTGACGTTGTGTGCCTGCTGGGAATAATCTGTTATGTCTCATTTAACAGACGCTTTTATCCAAAGCAACAAGTAGGAGAGCATTTAACACACACTCGGCACAATCCGGCGCGACGTGACGAGGTCCATACGGGTTCTGTTGTCTTACACGTCTTACAGCGTTACAGTAGGTTAAATCATAACAAGGAAACTTTACGTGTGATTCATGTCATCGCGACATACTGTAACAGTGTGTGTTTGAAAAAAATGATGTAGTCCTCTGCTTTTTTTCTTGGGTGCATTAGACGGCCAAACAGGAAGCGACTAAACAAACACGAAAATTCGCAAGAGCAACAAAAGATTTGAAGCTCATGGCAGACGCGCCCAATAGATGCTTCGCGCTGTGATTGGCTGAATGTTAGCTCACTCAAGTCTAAGTAACAAATCAGAGAACACGGGCGGAAATATTGGCACTGAGTCAAAAAAAATGCGGGGGACAGAATCACCTGTTTCTAAAAGTGCGGGGGACGTGTACCCCCCGTCCCCCCCGGTTGCTACGCCCCTGCTTAGCAGCATGAAAAACTAAACTTGTATTGTGAATAGGTATTAAAGCAAGAGAAGAGCCCTTCCACATAATACTATGCATGTACTGCCCCCACTGCAAAAACAGAAATCTGTAAGAAAAACTGGTTTAGTTGAGTGTCTCTTACATGTCTTGTTGACATCCTGCTCTTGATTCCTGGTGTCTGTGTGATGTCACCATGAGGCTGGGCAGTCCAGGAAGACAAACGGCTGCATGACTTGGATTCTGACGAAGAGACAAAACGTCATGACATGTTTTGCCACATTTCATATACGTTACTCTAGAAAAGAATACGGCAGACGTTTCATATTTCAACAAAAGTCTTTACCACTCCGATTCTGCTTCAGTTTTCCCATGGTAGCCGCGAGAGATGACTTCTGGCACTCAAAAGGAATTACTGAAAGCATCTTGCCATGAGGGACATACAGCTTCCCAGAATAACACCACAACTGTATTCAGGAGAAAGTGTTTCACTCCATTATTAAACGTATGTATTATCTTTGTGAAAAATAATAATAATAATAATAATAATAATAATAATAATATCACACCTGACTACAGATCCTTCCTGACATTTCTTTACTAGCCTGAAGAGTTTGGAAATGAGTGTTCCAGATGTAAAGGTAATCTACGAATGACAACATTTCAATGATTATTGCACCAATCAGATATCAAGTGATAAAAGAGGGAGGAATAAAAAAAATACAGCACTAAATGTCATTGATAAGAATGTGAAGAGTATGGGTGTGACAATTGTCAATATGATTGACAATTTCTGGGATTTTATTGATAACTGTAAGTAGAAGATATTTTGTGTTTGTAAAAAATATATTTTGGTGTTTGTAAAATTCTTATATTGTAGTTTCTCAATTAAATGGAAAAAACTTAAGTAAAACCAATACAAAAACACTAAAATCAGAACTGCTTTTTTGGGTGGAAAATGCAAGGAGTATAGAGCTAGGCGATAAAACGATAATTATTTAAATTAAGTTTCCTCAATTATAACAAGTTTAACAAATGTTCAATATAATGTTTGCACGCCAAACGTGGAACGAAATGGCGCTACTTGTTTGATCCGCGCCACTCATACCATTTATCAGCTCGGTTTCACACCGCAAGCGTGAGCGGTGCGCATTTTAATCAACGAGTGCATTCACACCGGGAGCAGGAGCCGCGCGTGAGCATCGAGCAGGAGCGTCGCATGAGCAGCGAAGCGGTTTCGGCGTCGAGCCTATTTTTGCTGCGCTGCTCAAGCTCAATTAAAGTGAAAGCACACTTTTGATGGACAAAATAAATATTTCACACAAAAAGTGCCCAAAATGCACAGAATTTGCATGTCTAGTGTGTTTTAACAAGAACTGGAGTAGGCTATGTCAGAAATTAAAATGAAGACTCTTTATAGAAAATATTTATAGAAAATGTACCCATTTAAACTTGTTTTTATTATTCAGTTTGGGTAAAAGTATATGGTGTTTTATAAATTAAAAAATACATCGAAAAGAAATGTGTTATTGAAAATAAAAAAGTGGTTAGGAAAAAAAAAATCGGAATCGGCTAAAATCGGTATCGGCAGGTCAAACTCAATGAAAATCGGAATCGGCCTAGAAAATTGTAATCGGTGCATCTCTAATCTTTTTGCACTTGAACGGACACACAAAAGTCAAAATATCCTCAAACACAGTCGGTTATGTCTTAAGTGAATGTAAACAGTTGACAAAGAAAACGCATAACTATATATTGGATCTGTGCAGCTCTTAAAGTTACAGCAGCCTAATATTCCTGCTGCCGTCTCTATAATAACGTTAATCAAACAACAAAAGACAGAAAATTTACTCGCTGTTCTAGATTGAATAACTTTTGTAATGTATATGTGTAATGTATATTTTCCTTTTTTCAAAATATTTTTTCTATTAAGATATTCTATTAATATTAAGAAAAAAAGACTGAAAAGCATTTTACTGAAGGTAAATGAAGTTTACTCATGATTATTTGGTTGTTAAAAAATATTGTGTCATTTATAAATGTTTTGAATATTCTAATCTCAGATTTGTGAAATGTTCACCTGTTTGGTAAGTGTTTGTCATGTTCCAACAATAAAGACTAGTTCAAAACCACAATTAATCTGGTTTCTACAACTTTCACCTTTAAACTTGAAAGAAATAAGATTTGACATTTATCTTGATAATTATCAATATTGCTTACAAAACAAAAACAGTGCCACGCTTGACACATCACATTAAGCCATATCACATTCTCTCTGTCTGCCTCGCTGCCTGCTGTGTGTTTGTTTGCTTCGAGGCTGTAAGCTCCGCCAGAGCCTCGTATTTCTTTATGTTTTGAGCCATCATTTACTATCTAGTTGTTTATACTACAGCTTACCCAACATCTCAGATTATCCTTACATCTCTAGCTTCCGTTATTGTTAAGACAGCACGCTAGTAACTCGCTAACGTTAGCCTGCCAACACGCCACCCGTGCGCTCATTTATATATTTATTTTCTCTCGCGCGCCCGCGCCTTTGAGTTCACAAAGTCCAGGTAAGTAAGAAATCAGTCAACAAACACGGTGAGTAATGTCTTCTTGTCCTGTTATTGTCACCTGTGTCACATGTCATATGTTTAGTATAGCCTTCTCCGATGGCAATATAGGATTTATATGTGATAAATATGTGATAAATGCAAGGAGACAGTCAGGCTGACGGTGAAGATTTCAGAACTAGAGACACGCATCCAAACTTTAATTGAGGATGGTAAGAATGCTAGATCTTTAGATAGTGTTTTGGATGCGCCTAGCATAGTGAACTCTTTACATGATTCAGTTCCGGCTGAAGTAGAGCCCGTGCAGCAGGGCAGATGGGTTACTGTGAGAGATCACCGCTCTAGTCGCGGATCAAAGAACCACTCTTCCGTTCCGATTCCCATAACAAATCGATTTGCCCCACTCAGTGAAACACCCACTGAGAATTCTGTTGATTGTGCCCTGGTAATTGGTGATTCGATCACACGGAATGTGAAAATAGAGACACCAGCCACCATAGTCACATGTTTGCCGGGAGCCAGAGCGCCTGACATCAAAGCAAATTTAAAAGTGCTGGCTAATGCTAATCGTAAATTCTCTAAGATCATTATTCATGTCCGCACTAATGATGTTCGACTCCGCCAGTCGGAGATCACCAAAATTAATATTAAAGAGGTGTGTGAACTCGCAAGTACGATGTCAGGCACTGTAATTTGCTCTGGCCCCCTTCCTGTACGCAGGAGTGATGAGATAGTTAGCCGATTGGCCTCACTGAATGGTTGGCTGTCGAAGTGGTGTCCGCAGAATAATATAAAATTCATAGACAATTGGAAAAGTTTTTGGGGCAAGCCTGATCTGTTGAAAAGAGATGGTCTCCATCCCTCCTGGGCTGGTGCTGCTCTTCTCTCTAGTAATTTGGCTCATAGTCTTAGAGCTAAAACATGACAATCTGGGGCTCAGGTCAGGAAGCAGACAGACTGGCTAAACCGACCGTCTGCTAGCGGCCTCACGTCACCAAGGTCAGATAAATCCCATCACATAGAGCCTCTTTCACCTAGATATCATCATATAGAGACTGTGTCTGTTCCCCGAATTTGGAAATCCAAAAAACGTCAGGTTAAAAATGTAATTGATGTTCAACAAATAAAAAACAGATATAATACAGATGAGCAAATGATAAAGCTTGGGTTGCTGAATATTCGATCCCTTACTTCAAAATCTCTTATAGTTAATGATATGATTTCAGATTATAATCTTGATATGCTGTGTTTGACAGAAACCTGGCTAAAACCAAACGATTACATTATTTTAAATGAGTCAACCCCACAAGATTACAGTTATAAAAATGAACCTCGTCTGAAAGGCAAAGGGGGAGGTGTTGCTGTAATTTATAGTAATATTTTCAAAACCACTAAGAAATGTAGCTTTAAATTAGGGCTGTCAGTTAAACGCGTTATTAACGGCGTTAACGCAAACCCATTTTAACGGCGTTAATTTTTTTATCGCGCGATTAACGGTCTTTTTGGCCTAGCAAACTTTGTAGGTTTTTTTTCACATGCTTTTGCAACAGGACGGCATGCGGGCCGCTGCGCTATGAAACCCATTCATTTCAATGGCTTGCGGCGCGCGAGGACGTTTTGAAAGCGCAAGCGGATCTAGCTAGACCGGAAACAAAACAACAGGCACGCCGCACACACTTGTTTGGGCTTGCGAGCCGGATGCGCGAGCGCGAATCTCTCTGCTCGAGTCGCGCGCGCTCTCAGATACACGCTGCTCTTGTAAGAATTTTCTCTGGGCTCACTCAGAGAATATGCCTGCACTTAAAACGTGTTCAGTGCAATCGCGAATCTCTCCTCTTCCCCAGCTAACAATTTTAGGTTATAAGAATGTTTTCATAACGTTCCCATTAAGTTATAAAAACGTTATTTCTGAATGTTATAGGAACGTTCAAAACGTCCAGTTTTGAGTGGATGACGAGCGTGAGACGCCGAAATGGATGCCAATAAGATTCTGAATGGAAAGTTTACTTTTAAAAAGTTGCCAAATGGTTCCATTGACAAGACCAAAGTGATCTGTGTGTTTTGTCGTTGTGAACTGAGCTATCATCATCGCAGCACGTCCAGTCTGAATAACACAGCTGATGCGAATTCTCCGCCCCCTCGTCAATATCAGGACCTCGTCAGTATTTATTTCACCCTTTTATTGATGGACAGTGTTATATTGTGTGAGAGATTATTTGCTCCAAGTGATAATGTTCTAGTGTGAAATTGAACAGTATATGCCAATATTGTTTTCAATAAAAAAAAACATTTGCACAAAGCAAGCCAATCCACTTTTCCATGTTGATAAGAGCATTAAAATGAGAAAAAAATAATGGGACAAAAAGAAATCAAGAGACATTTAGAATAGATAAAAATGTGCGATTAAATGCGATTAATCGCGAGTTAACTATGACATTAATGCGATTAATCGCGATTAAATATTTTAATCGTTTGACAGCACTACTTTAAATATACTTCTTTTGAAGCATTGGTGCTTAATGTAAAAATATATAGTGTAAACGATATATCACATTTGCGAATTCTGCTGGCTACTGTGTACAGGCCACCAGGGCACCATAAAGATTTTATCAAAGAATTTGCGGACTTTCTATCAGATTTAGTATTGGCTGCAGATAAAGTACTAATTGTTGGTGATTTTAATATACATGTAGATAATGAAAAAGATGCTTTGGGATTGGCATTTAAAGACATTGTAAACTCAATTGGAGTTAGACAACACGTGTCAGGACCTACTCATTGTCGTAATCATACTCTAGATCTAATATTATCACATGGAATAGATGTTGATGCTGTTGAAATTCTGCAGCAGAGCGATGACATCTTAGATCATTATCTAGTCTCATGTAAATTACATTTAGCCAAGGCTGCAAAGCCGAGCTCCGTGTTATAAATACGTTAGACCTATAACTTCTGCCACTAAAGATTGCTTTATCAATAATCTTCCTAATCAGTTTCATCATCTCAGCATCCCAGATAGCTTAGAAGAACTCGATATTGCAACAGAAACGTTTAACTCTCTCTTTTCCAGCACTTTAGACGCAGTTGCTCCGTTGCGCTTAAAGAAGATTAAAGAAAATAGTCCAACGGCGTGGTACAGCGAGCACACTCAGGCCCTAAAGAGAGCAGCCAGAAAAATGGAGCGCAACTGGAAGAAAACTAAACTAGAGGTATTTCGGATTTCGTGGAAAGAGAGCTCAATTGCTTACAGAGAGGCTTTAAAAGCTGCTAGATCTGCTTATTTTTCAAACCTATTAGAAGAAAATAAACATAATCCTAGGTATTTATTTGAAACAGTGGCTAAACTAACGAAAAAGAAAGCTTCAAGCTCAGAAGTGTCAAAGCAACACGGCAGTGATGACTTTATGAACTTCTTCACTTATAAGATTGATAATATCAGGGACAAAATTATAACTATGCAACCGTCTACCACAGTATCGCATCAGGAAGTGCATTGTAGTCTCCCTGAGGAAAATTTTGATTTATTTGTTGCTATAGGAGAGGAAGAATTCTGCAAACTCGTTAATTCATCTAAATCGACAACTTGTATGTTAGATCCTATACCGACTAAGCTACTGAAAGAGATGTTTCCAGAGGTCATATATCCTCTTCTTAATATCATTAATTCATCTTTGTCTCTAGGATACGTACCAAAAACCTTTAAACTGGCTATGATAAAACCGCTTGTTAAAAAACCACAACTTGATCCTACAGAATTAGTCAATTACAGGCCGATCTCGAATCTGCCTTTTCTGTCAAAGATATTAGAAAAAGCAGTATCTTCACAACTATGTTCCTTTCTAGAAAGAAATGATATCTGCGAGGATTTTCAGTCCGGATTTAGACCGTACCATAGCACTGAGATCGCTCGAATTTGAGTCACAAATGATTTGCTCTTATCATCCGATCGTGGTTGTATCTCTCTATTAGTGTTACTCGATCTTAGTGCTGCATTTGACACCATTGACCACAATATTCTTTTAAATAGACTAGAAAACTATGTTGGCATTAGTGGAATTGCATTAGCATGGTTTAAATCATACTTAACTGACCGTTATCAGTTTGTAGCAGTAAATGAAGAGATGTCTTATCGATCACAAGTTCAGTATGGCGTACCACAAGGCTCAGTACTAGGACCGCTGCTGTTCACTCTGTACATGCTACCATTAGGAGATATCATAAGGAAACATGGAGTTAGCTTTTACTGTTATGCCGATGATACTCAGCTGTATATTTCTTCAAAACCCAACGAAACTTACCAATTCACAAAATTAACAGAATGCATAGCTGATATAAAAAATTGGATGACTAGTAATTTCCTACTACTAAATTCTGAAAAGACAGATTCTAATTATTGGCAAAAAACGTCCACACGTAATAACCCAGAATACTGTCTAACACTTAATGGCTGCTCTGTCAAGTCTTCGTCGTCGGTTAGGAACCTGGGTGTGCTATTTGATACCAACCTTTCTTTTGAAAGCCACGTGTCTAGTATCTGTAAAACTGCATTTTTCCATCTTAAAAATATATCTAAATTACGCCATATGCTCTCATTGGGAAATGCGGAACAATTAGTCCATGCGTTCATGACCTCAAGGCTAGATTATTGTAATGCTCTACTGGGTGGTTGCCCTGCACGCTTAATAAACAAACTACAGCTAGTTCAAAACGCCGCAGCTCGAGTTCTTACCAGAACCAGGAAATATGACCATATTAGCCCGGTTCTGTCAACACTGCATTGGCTCCCTATTAAACATCGTATAAATTTTAAAATATTGTTGATTACCTACAAAGCACTAAATGGTTTAGCTCCGCAGTACTTGAGCGAGCTCTTAACGCATTATAGTCCTTCACGTCTATTGCGATCTCAAAATTCCGGCCAGTTGATAATACCTAGAATATCTAAATCGACTGCTGGCGGTAGATCCTTTTCCTATTTAGCACCAAAACTTTGTAACATTCTTCCTACCATTGTCCGGGAAGCAGACACACTCTGTCAGTTCAAAGCTAGACTAAAAACACATCTCTTTGACCTAGCATACACATAATACATTATAGACTTCTATAAATTCAATGTTAGGCTGCATAGATTAGGTCAGCCGGAACTGGGAACACTTCCCTTAAATCTTGATGTACTCGCTACATCATAAGAAGAATGGCATCTACGCTAATATTAGTGTCTTTGTTTATCCCGAGGTTTTCCCGCAGCCTGCCGGATCCAGGCCGTGTCCAGATCTGACGAAGGAGATTCGCCTGGACCCAAAGACAATGCAGTGCTGAAGTATCCACTATCCTCTCCCTATGGAGGATCCCTTTCCCACTCTACAGATAAAGCGCTGTGAATTCCGGCTCGCGTACCCCGAAGTGATAAAATAAAACAAAATTCTGTATCAAAATTTATAGGCAAGAAAAGTAGTTTGTTTAGGCTGGGTTGTATGAATTACAAACCTGCGCACATATTTTAAAAAGCACATAACTATAGAATTCTGAATGAGCATTTGAACGCCGTCAGCGTTAATCACAGGTTCGCGTTTAAAGTCTGATCATTTCGACGGAGGTGAATCAATCAAAGTTAACTTTAGCTGGAAGTAACATTATTCAAGAACCGCTATAACGCCAAAACAATCTGTTACCTTAAATTATATGTTTATCTCTGTAAAGCTGCTTTGAAACAATTCATTGTTAAAAGCGCTATATAAATGAAGATGACTTGACTTAAAATTGCATTGTTAGAATTTATATAAATAAAAAAAGGTTACTATCCAACTGGTGAGTAAAAGTTTCATAAACTCACCAATCCACATGCACCCTAGTTTAACATACTAGGCCACATCACGCAGTGATGCAGACTCTCAAGGTATGATCTTTTTTTTCAAAGTGGATGGTCAATAATCAGCTTGCACAATCAAGATATACATCAACAATAATATTACACAAACCCTAGTGAATAAAATGGAATATCAGGATTAAGGATGGAGCATCACACCTTTGCAAGATCCAGCAGAGGGGTGGGGGAATCCAACCACAGCTACATGAGCCTCATCAAGCACAACAGCAGCACCAGATATCAGTTCTTCCTCCCCCAGAGGCAGACTGAGACGCAGGGAGCGAGGTAGAGCCTGGACACCTTCAGCTACTGTTGCTGAACTTCTGAGTGGCAACACGCTCTCATACAAGCTGCCATTCAAATCTGAAATAATGCAGAGTTATTGGGTTGCTATTAGTACAAAATTGTCTCTCTGGTAAGATGATAGAATTAAAAGAGACTTACACAAGTACAACAGGTGTATGTTACGACCCCTGCATGTGGCAGAGAAACTGATAGGTGCAGAGAGACCAGGTTCAGTCTCAATTCTGTGTTTCACAAGGGTGTTGGGGTTAAATCTTTGAGCATAAAGCCAGTGCTCTCCTCTCTGAAACGAACACAAAACCTTAGAGTTGATTTACAGGTTCCCCTCATTATTCACTGATAGAACAAAAGATCAACAATGATTCAAAAAGACTTCAGAGAGAACCTGTTCTGTGTTGAACAAAACAACAAGCTGGTGCTCTGCCTTAACAACAGTACTCCATCTGTGAAAAAGAGAAAGAAATTTAACAAGGAAACTTACACTTAATTTATAATAAGTCTTTGCAGAAAATAGCATTGGACATCAAGTAGTGAGCTAATGCAGTAATCTGTTAGTATTAGCTTATAATTGAATATTAGCTTAGTATAATATAAAGCTATATTAAACATTAATTTTTGATGCTTGAAACCCACGTTTCGTCTTGGATCTTTGTGCGAAAATTGCTACACAGATTTCATCGAGCCAAACAACTTTTGTGCTGACATTCATACAAATAATCCATGCAATTATTTGTGAATGAGATCCAGGCTTTTTGGACCATTACTTTTATTAGCTAATGCATTTGGATGATTTTTTAGACACTCAAGACTACTCTCAGGCTACTTTCAAAATTTTAATTTGATTTGTTTAAAATGTTGTTGAACCTGCTGGCTCAACTAACTGGTAAACAGTCTCCAAATGAGCCTATGATCTCACTCTGCCTGTGTCTGTCTGTGTGTGTGTGTGTGTGTGTGTGTGTGTGTGAGTGCGAGAGGGAGGGTGAGAGCGAGGGAGAATATTTTACACTCTTGATGGTTTAGAGTATAACCCATTCATTGCTGTGTGCAGTTGCCTGCATTAAAGGAATTGTTTTTTTACTTTGTATTTTTCCCTTTTCCCAAACTAATACAGAAAGAAAAACATACTTACAATACATATGTACATACTCGTGTGTGTGTGTGTGTGAGTGTGTGAGAGAGAGAGAGAGAGAGAGAGAGAGAGAGAGAGAGAGAGAGAGAGAGAGAGAGAGAGAGAGAGAGAGAGAGAGAGAGAGAGAGAGAGAGAGAGAGAGAGAGAGAGGCGCGATCGAACAGTGGAAACATAAAAACCATACTCCGTCATTTTGTTCATACAGATCATTAAACCTGCAAAGTGTTTACTTATATTTGTGTACACTTGCAATAAAACACAACATTGTGCTTTTGTCACACTGTAAACTCTTGTCAAACTGTAACCTACAACTGTCACCCAACCAAAATCACACACACACTGTTTTAAAAGCAAAACATATTTATCCAACTCCATTTCAAAACAGTCTGTGGGTCCTATCTTTTGGACATTCATCATATTGCATTGGTTTCCATTTCTTGTCCTCGGAACACTAATCTTACACATTCTACATTGATTAAAAAAGAAAATCGAATGCGTTTTTAATGGTAGTATTATTTGATACAGAAATCAATTATTTATAATTCAGATGAGAATAATGTTACATTTTTAATTAATAATGTTAATTAAAATTAAGGAAAACAAATATATTGATGTGAAATATAGCAAATTAATTTCAAATTCATTCAGGTACAATTACCAAACATATAGCAAGGTCTTTTTATCTTTTTATTAATTTAATTAATAAACTAATTATATAAAACTATTGACGTCACTAAAGCCACAGGTCCCGTGTGTTGACAGACACTGCCGTTTTAACGTAGACCCGCCCTGATCGAGTTCACAGCGAGTTGTACACATCCGCCATTGCTGCACTGATGAGAATGTCTCCCAAGCGTTGAAGGTGTTGTGGCTGGATGTATTATTCACATAGCTCTCTCTATTTACTCCTGAAATCTGAGCCAGCCGCTGAAGACGAGGTGGATTCATTTTGTCTTTGAAGAATGCTCCCTCAACTCTACCGAAATTTGTTTATGTACTTTATACTGTTTACGCACTGAATACTGTTTACTCCGCTCTTGCATTGATTTTCTGGAGTAAAACTGACGTTTCATCTTTTGTGTGACATACAATAAACTTTATTAACCCTCTGGGGACCAAGGTGTTTTCGGGGTCCTTGAGACGTTTTGACATGCCCTGACATTTGTGCTTTTTTCCGTTGCTTATAAACATATTAATGGCACAGGTGAAATTACACTATTTAGCACAAACAGGGCTACCATAATATGTGAGCAACATATATGTACATGTTTGTATTTGAGAAAATATTGTTTATGCATGGTTATTGAAAAAACTAAAAATTAAAGTTTCTGAAATAAAGCCACAAAACACATACTAAATATGTGTCCACAAGACTTTTGACTAATGGAAGTTGTGGCCTAGAGTTTTTGATTCAAAATGATCTTAAAATCATCCCGTCTAATCATTCACATAACACAATAGATTCTTTTAAATTGTGAAACAATTTTTTTGTTAGCCAAGGCAATATGCGAATGGGCGTGAACGGTCCAACCCCATTGTGAATAATTACCGTAATTCCTCAAATAAAAACCGGTATTCAAATAAATGCCGGGCCTCTGATAGTGGCCGGGTGCATGATCAACGTGGACAAATAAAGGCCGGTCTCAAATTAAGGCCGGGGGAAAATTAGCGTGGATAATCTCCTAAATGCCTTTCATTGAAGAGATGTTACACCTGTCCACTTCATGCGTGTTCTGTGATCTGATCGTGAAAAGACCATTAAATGCCATCCGAAGCGCATTCGAGACAATTTAAATCCGATCGCTCAAACCACTTCTTCAGTAGGAGATCTGAGACGAGATTCCAGACGAAACTGCACAAGTGTAAATCAAATGCATCTGTTTGTTGAAACCACATATCTAAATTTTACTCCTCCCAAAAACGCTAAAAAAATAAAAGTGTGAGAGCGTGTTATGCTATGTAATGTTATAGCAAGATGTGACAACGCTACTGCAACACGCATCACGGCAGCTGAGCATCTATTCATAAAGCCAACATGCAAACTATTGCAAATTAAAGTGAAAGTCGCAGACAATTCTCCTCCTCATTAAAAGTAAAGAAACGAAATGATCTTACCAGGGTTGTTGCCGCTCTCTCTTATTGCAGTCTTTTGATTTAGAAATTAGCTGATCTATCAAATGCAGCTCATATCTGTTGCTTTCGGTGACGTGCACTCCATTAAATCTGCATATAGCGTGGGAATTGAAGTTTTATATCCGTTTTGTGAAAACGCATTTGTGAGCAGATTTAAGTAGAATTGTTTTGATAAATCAGATAGCTTTCCGATCTGAGAAAACACATGAAGTGGCCAGGTGTAAACATCCCCTAATATGCATTCAAGTTCATCGTAACGTACAGCCAATAGATGGTAGTAGACAATAGATGTAACACAGATATAATTTAGTGCTGCTAGTGTAACGGTCTTTTCAACAACTTTATTTAAAACGAAATTGTCGAGGAGCATGGAACCCAGACGGAAATTTAATTTTGATTTTTTTTTTAAATAAAGGCCTGCCTTTAATAAAAGCCTGCTTCAAATAAAAGCCTGTTACCTTCTGCAGTTTAGGTAAATAAAGGCCCCGGCTTTTATTTGAGGAATTACGGTAGGTGGTTGAGAAGACAAAGACGACCCGCATATTAATGAGCCTTTCATTCAGGTGTGTCACAAGAAAGAATGCAAGGACAATATACACACACACACATACATACATACATACATATACATATATATATATAAAATCAAAATATAAATGAAAGTCAAAAGCACATTTTTAGTCATACCTGGAAACAAATCCTGTTCAAATAGGTTATATGGGCCATTCTACAGAATTGGTTCAAAGTATCCAAAACTAGTCACACACACACAGAAACATGATTCAAATTTAAACAGTAGGATATTTTTGCATTTACAGACACTAACGTTATTATATATCGCGATTAGAACAAAGCACAAGAATAAAAACACTTACAGCTCAGCTCGCTCCTCAAAGTGAAAATAAACCAGCACTTGTTCTGAGGTAGGTAAATGTCCCAGGATTATTCCTCACAGCCGCGCAAGACGACAGTACATTAATCTGACTAAATATAGTGTGTTTACCGAGTTTATGTGGGCGTTTACACGTCTCAATGTGTTGTTTCAGATCATTAGCGTTTGAATAGCGCGCGCTCTCCGTGGGCGAGTCACATTAGCGGAATAATGAGATGTGAGAACGATAATGAGAACGGCTGACACCTCTCTCTTTTTATATAGATTACATAAACAGAATATTTATTTTAGTTTTAAATTAGATAATTTAAAAGTACAAACTTAAATTATCATAAACATATATTGCTCATGTCTGGGTGAATAGTATTCGCTAAGTTTTGTTTAAGTTTAGAGAAGTGCTCCAGAAAAAAAGTTCACGGACACGGAGAGGCAGAACGCACACCCTGTTTATTTTCTTTATTTTACAAAAGCACAATATTTTATTTCGATTGTAGGTGGGCACATAAAAAAGTAGACATTTAACAGTTTATTTTTTAATATGTCTTAACTAGGGTTGGGTACCGAAACTCGGTGCCAATAGGGAACCGGTTCCGACGTAAACGGTAGTAACCAGACCGAATAAGAACGACAATTTCGGTGCCCGATTTCGGTGCCTGACTTAATTAGGCACACACACACACACACGCACAGTCTCTTCTGTCTCGCATGCGCACTCTTGCTCGCAAGGTTTGTTTGGCTGCATTTCACGTGTAAAATTACGCGTCAGAACGCCCTCTGGGTGTGCCGATAGTCTGAATCCCATATAGAATCAAGCCAATTCATTGGCTAATGGCGCGGGCGCCGCCTCGACGCACTTACGTCGTCATATTATGTTGGCGCGCGCGCGCCATCTGCTCATCAGATTTCTCTGCCGAAAAAGGAAGCTGGTCGGCAGCGCGAGGAGCTTGGCAGCGTCTCGTTCCTTATTGAGAGAACATAGGTTACACCAGTAACCAGAGGTGTTCTCTTTCATAGGTTCACTCAACGCTGCGTAGCTAAGAAGCAGTGGATTTGTAAGCTGCTGTATCACGTGCCGTTTGAACTGACGCGCTACAGCGATCTGTCACATTTCAAAGAGCCAAAACGTTATTTATTGTGTGAATCTCGTAAAAATATTGACAGAATCTGACAGCTGTGGATTTGTTCCATATCAAAAGTAACATTCTCTGTCTTGTCTGTCGGTGTCCTCTTTGTCCGCGATTTTTCTCTGCGTGAGAAAATGGATGTGTGGCGCGAGAGCGTGTGAAAAG